AAACCAGTCAGTAGCATCTGAAGGAGGGAATTGATTTTGAAACATGTTGATTATGCCTCTAAATCTTAAGCTTGTGAAATACTCTACTGAATTAAGAAACACCAGAGGCTGAAAAGTACTTCCAGCCAAAGATGTAATCCATCTGAGTTGAAAGGCCACAGCAAACCAGCAGAGAGGTGGTTGGCTAAGTAATTCATCACTGCACAGCCATGGCCTCTCACTGGATTCTACTTCTAGTGCTCGGAGTCTCCTCTGTCCACCACATCTGGCTCAGGGCATGGGATTTAACATCTGCACCTGTGGGATGTTTGCAAGGGCACTGATGCTGACCAGAGAAACAGCTTCATTCACTTCCAGATGAGTGACATCAAATCTTCATTATTCAGAATTTTGGAACCCTGTCTTTGAGGTTTGCTGCCTGTAAAAAGCCCACATTACTCCCAACTACCATCCTCAGAAAATACATGGGAGAAGTGGTTAAAAATATTAGCTTTGGTAGAAAAGCTGACATTTAATGTTCATAGCACAAAGAAATAACAAATATTCAAGGTGATGATATGCTAACTGATATGGTTTAGCTCTGCGTCCCCACCCAAACCTCATCTCAAACTGTAATCACCACATGTTGAGAAAGGGAGGTGACTGGATCATGGGATCGGTTTCCCCCCTGATGTTCTCATGATAGTGAGTGAGTTCTCACAAGACCTAATGGTTTTATAAGTGTTTGGAAGTTCCTTCTTCCCTCTTTTCTCTCCTGCCTTTGTGAAGAAGGTGCTTGTTTCTCCTTCAACTTCCATCATAATTGTAAGTTTCCTAAGGCCTCCCCAGTCATGTGGAACTCTGTGTCAACTAAACCTCTTTCCTTTATAAATTACCCAGTCTCAGGTATTTCTTAATAGCAGTGTGAAAACGGACTAATACAGGAAATTGGTACCAGTAGAGTGGGGCACTGTTATAAAGATAAAATGAAAATGTGGAAGCAACGTTGGAACTAGGTAATGGGCAGAGGTTGAAACAGTTTGGAGGACTCAGAAGAAGACAGGAAGATGTGGAAAAGTTTGGAACTTCCTACAGACTTGTTGAATGGTTTTGACCAAAATGTTGATAGTGATATGGACAATGAAGTCCAGACTGAGGTGGTCTCAGATGTAGATGAGGAACTTCTTGGTAACTGGAATAACAGTGACTCTTGCTATGCTCTAGCAAAAAGACTGGTGGCATTTTGCTCCTGCCCTAGAGATCTGTGAAACGTTGAACTTGAGAGAGATGATCTGAAATTGAAATTTAAGTTTCAAAGGAAGGAAGAACATAAAAGTTGGGAAAATTTGCAGCCTGACCATGTGGTAGAAAAGAAAAACCCATTTTCCAAAAAGAAATTCAAGGTGGGTGCATAAATTTGCATAAGTAACGAGGAGCCAAATGGTCATCACCAAGACAATGGGGAAAATGTCTCCAGGGAATGTCAGAGAAACTCGTTGCAGCCCCTCTCATCACAGGCCCAGAAGCTTGGGAAGGAAAACCGGTTTATGGGCTAGGCCCAGGGCCCCCGCTGCTGTGTGCACCCTTAGGACATGGTGCCCTGTGTCCCAGATACGCCAGCTCCAGCCATGGCTAAAAGAGGCCAAGGTACAGCTTGGGCAGTTGCTTCAGAGGGTGCAAGCCCCAAGCCTTGGTGGCTTCCCCATGGTGTTGGGCCCACTAGTGTGCAGAAGACAAAAGTCAAGCTTTGGGAGCCTCTGCCTGGATTTCAGAGGATGTACGGAAATGCCTGAATGTCCAAGCAGAAGTCTGCTGCAGGGGGTGGAGCCCTCATGGAGAACTTCTGCTACGGCCATGCAAGGGGAAATGTGGGGTGGAGACCCTACACAGAATCCTTACTGGGGCACTGCCTAGTAGAGCTACAAGAAGAGGGCCACTGTCCCTCAGACTCCAGAATGGTTGATCCACCAATAGCTGGCACCATGCACCTGGAATAGCCACAGGCACTTAATGCCAGCCCATGAAGGAGCTGCTCAAGGCTGTGGGAGTGCACCCTTGCATCAGCATGTCCAAGATGTGAGACATGGAGTCAAAGGAGATCATTTTTGAAGCTTTAAGATTTAATGACTCCCCTGCTGGATTCTGGACTTGCATGGGGCCTATAGTCCCTTTGTTTTAGCCAGTCTCTTCCATTTGAAATGGGAGCATTTACCCAATGCCTGTATTCCCCTAGGAAGTAACTAACTTTCTTTTGATTTTACAGCCTCATAGGTGGAAGGGACTTGCCTTGTCTCAGATGAAACTTTGGACTGTGGATTTTGAGTTAATGCTGAAATGAGTTAAGACTTTGGGGAATTGTCAGGAAGGCATGATTGATTTTGAAATGTGAAAACACATGAGATTTTGGAGGGGCCAGGAGCAGAATGATCTGGTTTGGCTCTGTGTCCCTACCCAAATCTTATCTCAAATTGTAATACCCACATGTTGAGGGAGTAACCCGTAATCACCACATGTTGAGGGAGGGAGGTGATTGGATCATGGGGGTGGTTCCCCCATCCTGTTCTCATGATAGTGAGTGAATTCTCACAAGATCTGATGGTTTCATTAGTGTTTGGAAGTTCCTCCTTCACTCTTCTCTCTCCTGCTGCCTTGTGAAGAATGTGCTTCTTTCCCCTTTGCCTTCCACCATGATTGTAAGTTTCCTGAGGCCTCCCCAGCCATGTGGAACTGTGAGTCAATTCAATCTCTTTCTTTTATAATTTACCTAATCTCAGTTATTTCTTTATAGTGTGTGAAAACAGACTAACACACTAACCGATCTGATCACTACACATTGTATACATGTATCATTCTGTATATGGGATATCATTGTATCCCATAAGTATGTACAACTAAAAATAAAAGATAAAGAATATATTGGTTTTGAAGTCAGGGAATCAAGGATTAGAATTCTGGGCTTGCCATTTAGTAGCCATGCAACCATGGGCAGGTTTATATACCTCTATGAGCCTTAAGTTCCTCAGGGTTAAAATGCAGATTATAATAATATATCTTACAGGTTTACTGTAAAAACCAAATGATATGACATAAATAAATCTGCTGGCAAATGCTAGGAAATAATAAGCATTCAATATACACTTTTTAAAGTTCTAGTTCTTACCTGAGTCCAAAGATATCAAATGACTTCCCTGAGGTGACATAAAGGCAACCCAGCACCATTTACTTCTCAATATCATGGATTGGTTTCAATTGCTACTTTTATTATGTATTATTTATCCCCTCATCTAGCCTATTAGCAAATGTGTTAAATTTTAAAAGAGCCTTGTTTCATCTCTCTCAAATATTTCAACCTCTTTGGAGAAATCGTTTTTAACCATCACTTGCTGTTCATAAACATTCAGTTAGGCTGACATCCAAATGTCAAGAGTTCAGACATGTAAACATTAAAATAATTTTGCCAGTGAAATTTCATGAGCTTCCACATAAAGTGTTTCAATTAACTCCATTTTGTTAGACGTGATCTTAATCCCTAAAACAGCAATTAATCACAGTTAGTAGTATTCTGATTATGTTTCCATCAAGCTTAAAATACCCTTGAAGACAGGTCTGTGACTTGTACTTCCTTCATATCCTGCACAATCTCTGGTATAGCATTAGGCCTAGGTAGATGTACAATATCCATCTGATCAGGCATATCTTTGGTATCAATAAATGCAAGTTCAGGGAAAAAGAATAAACCAAGTCTCTTTCTCAAACTAAAGGCTAAATTATAAGAAAATTGTAATTGTTCCAATAAAAGCAATCGCTTTGCAGCTACTGTGACAAAATAAGACTACATAGACAGAGTGAACCAAGTAACTCAAGTAACTCCTTGAGTTACTCAGCCCACTGTTCTCACTGGTCCATGAGAATGTACAGTAAGAACATACAATGAGAAGGAGAGTTGCTTCTTGTTAAAAAATATATATATATAGTAATAAAAACCACTTAATCTAAACTTACAGTTTTCAGCTTATGGGTACACATGAGATGTCAGTGATAATAGTACCTCCCCCTTAACTGGCTTGTTGTGATTTGAATAATGAAGAATTTCAACAATGCCACTCTTGTGCCACCTTTTTAGCTGTGACTCGTGTGACCACAGACAGTCTTCCAATGGCCTTTTCTCTGCCTACCCTTTACACTACACTTAAAGTCACAGAATGCAGCCCCTTGCCAGTCCATGAAGATCCTAATTCCTCGCTTTAAATTGTATGCCCAGTGTTCACAAACCTATAAACCCACCAGATGCCAAAATGGTTCCCACCAGATGCCAAAGTGGTTCCCTTCCATGCTCTTGACCCCAGCCACACAGTGGTCCTCACAGCGCAAGGAAGAAAGCCACAGTCCTGGTGTCCTCACCTACCAAGTCCACATATGTCATAATATTGTGATTAGACATGTATGCTCCAGGGTCAGACCACTTAGGAGAGAACTCTGGCTCTAAAACTCACGAACTCTGTGAACTAGGGTAAATTACTGAGCCTGTCTCTTAGCTTCAGTTTCCTTATCTGTAAAATGGGGATAAATACAACTGGGGCTTATTGCAAAGATTGAATGCAATAAGGTACATAGCAGCTAGTATAGTTTCTGGCACATAAGAAACACTCAATAAATGTTCATTATTATTATATTACACTCTGAGAATAAATCACTAGAGTTATGCCCTAACATGATTTAGTGGCTGGACGACATAACTGCAGGGAAACCCTAAAAGTGAATCCTCTTTTGCCAGGCATCATATTAAGCCCTATCATACAGTTTAATATTCACAAACACTGAAATAAATATTGTTATCACTGTTTTTACAGGTTCATAGAAGTGACTTACCCAGAGTTAATTTGCTTACACAAAAGAACAGCCAATAGCTGTCCAAAGTCCCAGTTTTCTCCACTAACTCATGGTGCCCCTCTCACACTTTGGAAAACTTGAGACCTTTTCATTGGTGCTATAGTTAACATTGAAATCAACAACACACTCACAGGTTGAATCTGCTGTCCAGAAAGTTGCCCTGACTCCTGTCCACTTCAGCTTCTGTCCGCAGTTCATAAGGATGCAACCATCTACACAGCTGCTGGATTGTCGTCACCTTTGAGGTTTTATTTATAAGTCCACAAGGCATGTGTCTTTACAAAAGTAATGGATGGGACCCTCAAGCACTGATGACTTCCCAGCAGGGGCCCAGTTGTTGGTTTATGTCAAAGCCTTTGAACCCGGGCTCTTCCAACCTCTTCACAAGGAAAGGCTCTAAATCAACTCATCCTTTATGAGCTGCTAACTTCCTGGAGTTGGAGGCCTCCTTGTTTGGAGGAGACATGAAGGGGTCTGGGATAATGTCCTAGCTGTCCCTCTCCATCTCTGGCATGGAACACTCCCTGGGGTTGGTGAGCTGCACTCCCTTGTCGGTGAAAGCTGCACCCCTCTCATCTCTGCACAAACACCATCCTCCTTTGTGCTGCCTCCTCGGTTTCCTCCCCTGTCAGCAAGTGTCATCTTCTATACTTCAGGGGGCTAAATACCAGCAAGACCTTGCTGAAGTTCTTCCCCTAATGAAGACAGACAAGCATATTGGAAAGATGATCTGAGAGTCTCCTCTAGAATTTATTCTCACAATTTCTGTATTCTCTTACGAACAAAGTACAACGTTTTTTACTCATTCTCATTTCCAGAGTCAGAATTTGTCATTACAATAGATGTGTTCACTTGATGTGGACAAATCTCTTCTTTTTAGTCAAAAATTCTTATTACTACAGTAATGTAGCTACATTTGCAAACTGCTTAGAAATCAGGAACAGCCAGCCGGGCGCGGTGGCTCACACCTGTAATCCCAGCATTTGGGAAGCCCGAGATGGGTGGATCACGAGGTCAGGAGTTCAAGATCAGCCTGACCAAAGTTGCAAAACCCCATCTCTACTAAAAATACAGAGAGAGAGAGAGAGAGAGAGAGAAAGAGAGAGAAATCAGGAACAGACAAATAAAAGCCACACTTTTTTCTGAGTTTCTTGGTATTTTTTATGTTCCTCTATTATTATTTTTAAGACCATTGTTTACATATCTGGCTCCCCAGCTAGTCTGTAAATGCTTTAAGAGCCAAAACTTGGTTTTATTCATTTTTGTAACCTCAGCAAAATGCTCAGTTCCTGAAATGCAGCAGGTGATCAACATATGTCTGGATGAATGGATTTAATGGAATCCTCAGACTTTAGAGAAGGAGGCCCTTGAGCAAATCTAATCTGAATTTTTCTCATTTTACAGTACTCTCTTTTTACTGAATTCCAATCAGGTTTAGAAATTAAAGAGATAGCAATAGCATCAATTAACTCCTACTTCTTCTTCCTTTTGTGGTTCTTCTAGCCACTCAAGGGGCATGAAAGGAGTTCCAGGCTCCTCCATTCAACCAATTTCTTTACAGTTCATCAAGTTTCCCCAGAATAATATGCTTGGCCTGTTTCAAGTTAAGGGGCTTTTCTAATGCCGTCTTATTCTCTTCTTGGAGAGTCCAACCTTGCAAATCTTTGTCATATTCATGTTTATAATAATATAAGTAGCAGACATTTATTGAGAGGTACTCCATGCCAGGCACTGTGTTATGGCTTTACACACATTGTCTCATATAATTCTCACGACAACCCTATGAGGCTTAGACAGGAGAAGTGGTTGCCCAAGATGACACAGCTAATAAGTGGCAGAGTCAGAATTTGATCTAAGTCCAGCTTCAGAGCCCTACTTGTTTAATCTAATCTAGCTGAGAAAATCACTCATATTTTTCTCAGGTAGCTATTTTGAGGGTTTTATTCTTAAGGGTCAACTGCTTTTATTATATCATGAATATGAAGTATTTTTAATATATTGATGAAAAGTATTAAGTAGGAAATAATTGCATCCCTAAACTAATCCCATAAAACAGGATAGACTTCTACTATGAAACATCTTTGAAACGAGAGTTCAGAAGGGAAACAGAACAGGAAAACACATGGAAACCCAAGGTGCTGATCATCTTTGCTCAATGCACTGGCCAGCAGTTGTCCTTCAGAGCAAGCAGTGAAGTCGCGGGAGATCATCCACTCTGTGTAAGGTAACACGTCTTGATTAAATTTTTAAAAGGAATAAAAGGAAAGTGTAACCTCTCTTCTGCCTACTTGAAGGTTACAACATATGCAAGAGGCCAATGTTTGCTCTTACTGGCTGTGGAAACATATCATGTAACTTATGCCTACTCGGGAGTCAAGTTTGGGAAGGGAATTCCTATAGATGAATTCCAAGTAGCTGGCTTTATTAACATCTTGTGACATTAAGTTGCTTTTAACCTAATTATTCAAGCTATTTTCAACCACAGATTGTGTCATCACCAACACTCAGTCCAAAGACTAAAATAAAACAATCCTTGGAAAATTCCAGCAGCATTCTCATCAGCAGGCTCTGACCTTCAAAAGGCTCACCGAAATGCCTGTGCAAAGGCCCAGCATTCTCTGCTCCTCATGTACACTTCTGAGCATTCCCAACTCAGACTATTCACAATCTCAAATTCTTTACTCACTCCCACCCGCTTGGCAAAAGACTTTCCCTACTGAGACGTGCCACAACTTGTAGGAAGAACTCCACTAATTAGAAACACTGCACTGACAGTGGTCGTGAATAAGTTGTGCCAGGTGTTCACATGTCCTTAATACCAGCCGTGTTTGGTTATTTATAACACCAAGTCAGGGCAATGGAATGCCTGGTCTTGCAGGCTGTGTCTCTAGCCATACATTGCATTTTAATCCCTATCACAGACTAATTAAAGGCACTAAAAGATATCACTTTTAGCTCAAATTTTCAAAGAGCAGAGAAAGAAGTCTAAAATGTATTAAATTCCTACTAAAGGCCAGGCCTTGTGCTAGGAGCTTTACTTATGTTACCTCTTTAATTCCCACCACAGTCATACAAGGGAGGTATTACTGTCCCCATCTCACAGATAAGGAAATGTAACCGCTGAAGGATTAAATATCCTGTCCAAGTGAGTGGTAAAGACAGGATGGGAACCTGGATTATGTGAGCCCAAATTCCATGTTTGTTTTCACCAGCAGATCAACATTTCCCCCATACTGCCTAGTCTGGGGCCAAAAGCGTAGGAATAATGGTTTAAAAGGTACAGATTCTGCAGTCAGGCTTCCTGGGTGTTTAATCTGCTCCATTCAGTTTCTAGGTATGTGACCTTGCCAAGTTACTTAACCTCTCTTAACCTCAGTTTCCTCACCTTAAAAAAAAAAAAATAGAGATCATTATAATGCTAACTCATAGATTTTAATTATTTGACAATAATTATGACTGATATTGTTTGGTTGTGTCCCCACCCAAATCTCAACTTGAATTGTATCTCCCAGAATTCCCGCATGTTGTGGGAGGGACCCACTGCGAGGTAATTAAATCATGGGGGCTGATCTTTCCCATGCTATTCTCGTGACAGTGAATAAGTCTCATGAGATCTGATGGGTTTATCAGGGGTTTCTGCTTTTGCTTCTTCCTCCTTTTCTTTTGCTGCTGCAATGTAAGAAGTGCCTTTTGCCTCCAGTCATGATTCTGAGGTTTCCCCAGCCATGTGGAACTGTAAGTCCAATTATACCTCTTTCTCTCCCCAGTCTAGGGTAGGTCTTTATCAGCAGCATGAAAATGGACTAATACAGTAAATTGGTACCAGTAGAGTGGGGCATTGCTGAAAAGATACCCAAAAATGTGGAAGTGACTTTGGAACTGGGTAACAAGCAGAGGTTGGAACAATTTGGAGGTCTCAGAAGAAGACAGAAAAATGTGGGAAAGTTTGGAACCTCCTAGAGACTTGCTGAATGGCTTTGACAATAATGCTGATAGTGATATGAACAGTAAGGTCCAGGCTGAGGTGGTCTCTGATGGAGATGAGGATCTTGTTGGGAACTTGAGCAAAGGTGACTCTTGTTACGTTTTAGCAGAGACCAGAGACTCGCAGCATTTTGCCCCTGCCTTAGAGATTTGTGGAACTTTGAACTTGAGAGAGATGATTTAGAGTATCTGGCAGAAGAAATTTCTAAGCAGCAAAGCATTCAAAATGTGACTTGGGTGCTATTAAAAACATTCCATTTTAAAAGAGAAATAGAGCATAAAAGTTCAGAAAATGTGCAGCCTGATGATGCAGAAGAAAAGAAAAATCCGTTTTTCATGAGAAATTCAAGCTGGCTGTAGAAATTTGCATAAGTAGCAAGAAGCCTAATGTTAATCCCCAAGACCATGGGGAAAATGTCTCCAGGCCATGTCAGAGACCTTCACAGCAGCCTCTCCCATCACAGGCCTGGAGGCCCAGGAGGAAAAAGTGTTTTTTGTGGGCTGGGCCCAGGGGTCCCCATGCTATATGCAGCCGAGGGATGTGGTGCCCTGTGTCCCAGCTGCTCCAACCATGGCTGAAAGGGGCCAATGTAGAGTTTGGGATGTGGCTTCAGAGGGTGGAAGCCCCAAACCTTGACAGCTTCCATTGGTGTTGAGCCTTCGGGTGCACAGAAGTCAAGAATTGAGATTTGGGAACCTCCACTATGATTTCAGAAGATGTATGGAAATGCCTGGATGCCCGGGCAAAAGTTTGCTGCAAGGGCAGGCACTCATGGAGAAACTCTGCTACAGCAGTGTGGAAGTGAAATCAGGGGTCAGAGCCCCACAGAGAGTCCCTTCTGGGGCACCACCTAGTGTAGCTATGAGAAGAGGGCCACCGTCCTCCAGACCCCAGAATGGTAGATCCACCAACAGCTTGCACCGTGCACCTGGAAAAGCCCACAGATACTCAACAGCAGCCCATGAAAGCAGTCAGGAAGGGGGCTGTACACTGCAAAGCCACAGGGGTGGAGCTGCCCAAGACCATGGGAACCTACCTCTTGCATCGGAATGACCTGAATTTGACATCTGGAGTCAAAGGAGATCGTTTTGGAGCTTTAAAATGTGAGTGCCCCACTGGATTTCAGACTTGCATGGGCCCTGTAACCCCTTTGTTCTGGCCAATTTCTCCCATTTGGAACAGCTGTATTTACCCAATGCCTATACCCCCATTGTATCTAGGAAGTAACTAGCTTGCTTTTGATTTTACAGGCTCATAGGTGGAAGGGATTTGCCTTGTCTCAGATGACACTTTGGACTGTGGACTTTTGGGTTAATGCTGAAATGAGTTAAGACTTTGAGGGACTATTGGGAAGGCGTGATTGGTTTTGAAATGTGAGGACATGAGATTTGGAGGGGTCAGGGGTGGAATGATATGGTTTGGCTGTGTCCCCACCCAAATCTCAACTTGAATTTTATCTCCCAGAATTCCCACGTGTTATGGGAGGGACCCATTGGGAGGTAATTGAATCATGGGGGCTGGTCTTTCCTGTGCTATTCTTGTGATAGTGAATACGTCTCACAGGATCTGATGGGTTTATCTGGGCCTTCTACTTTTGCTTCTTCCTCCTTTTCTCTTGCCACAGCCACGTAAGAAGTGCCTTTTGCCTCCTGCCATGATTCTGAGGCCTCCCCAGCCATGTGGAACTGTAAATCCAATTGAGCCTGTTTT